TAGTTCCAAATGATACCATCGTGAAACAGTTGAGAAGAAGTTAAAAAGGAACAAACAAAAAACGACATATAAAACCAAAAGAACTTAGTCCAAGGCCAAAATATCAACGCTGAAAAAAACTTTAACTGCACATTTACCAAACTAGTAGGAAAAAAAGTAATAAAAGAAACCTGGTGGATTTTTTTCTTTGGTTTTCAAAAGTGACATCTTTGTCATCTAGTGATTCAAAGTTGTATAAGGACGTCCTGGTAACTTTGCATTAGTTCAGACAATTCATGCAGAGGATCTTTCTTTGTAACTATGAGCCTTTGCATTTCTTCTGAATAAAAACACTTGCATTATAATTCTGTGTTCTCTGACACAGTAATTTTTTGGTTTATAATGGATTTCCTAGCTCTGTTGCATTTGTAAAAAGTTCTCCACCGAGATGAATACTTGCAATTTAGAAACCCTGAAGTTATCTTCAGAAGTCTAGAAAGCATTCTCTGTATTTCAAATACATGAACTATTCCCCAGTCACTGGGTTGTAATCCTTCTTAAGCAACAGGTACATTCTTGTCTATGCTTTTTTCCACGACTGATACTTGTTTGTTGCAACTGGATTCAATCCTCTGATCCTTTAGTTCGGGTAATAATGATACAGAATCCAACACCTAAACCTAAAATATGTTGCTCAGATGCTCTGTTCTATAAACTGTGGCTTCTAACTCAACCCTTCCAGGGACAATGCAAAAATAAAGCTATGAAAAGAAACTTAAATGAATTTCTTACTCGCACAAGTATACACATATTCCACTACGATACAGAAAACAAAACAAGGTGAAATTGGACTAGGTACTACATTTTTTTTCTACTTGCGTATAATAGTCTGGCCAACACCTTCACCTACAGCACAGCGTCTCCTGTCTTCATTCCCTCCTATAAACTCTGCGTCCTTTTTTTTGCCTTTTGAAGCCTGCTCTGTCATACGTCCGGCTAAGCTCTTCCCTCCCTCCCCTTCTTCCCGATGTCCACACACAACACTGTTGCAGCAGAGAAGTTACTCAGCAAAGTCCTTGAGGGGAGTGAAGTCCTCAAGTTTGGAGGACTTTGTTAATCCTCCGGTAGGCCCCGTTGCCTCACTCGAGTCTGCGGAGGCTACAAAAATATAGCCCTGTCAAGACTAGACTGGTTTTCAGTACCACATAGATGTCATAAGCCAAGACAAAGTTTACTTAAGAAAATCAAACTGGAGTCTGCAAACAGACCGCATACTCGATGTTGTTCATCATTGCTGAATTAAGAGGCAGATATTTAAAACTGTGGAAAGGGAATAGAATAGGTAACTGTTTTCATTGTTTTGTACTGAACTATTATTTCACTTTCCCTATATTGCTGTTAAGGAGAAGAAAGGAAAAAAAAGAAGGATAGTCAAGGCACAAGCCTTCAAAGATTAACCCAAAAACCGGTTATGCTATTGCAGTCTGGATAGCAAAGTTACATTTACCAGGGAATTATCCAATTTTCATTTCTGTGTCCTAGACAAAATTAGGCAAGACGACCTATGAAACTTGGTGTTAACACCAAAAATTGCAGGCTACATGCCGGATTCCTTGCTAAAACACTAAGAGAATTCTTAAGCATTGTTTAATCTAAGACTGCTGGCTTTGAGTACTGCAAAGCAATTTTTTTTTTTTTTTTTTTTTAAGATACACACAACGGTTTAGCAACACTGCTGATGTGAGAAGGCACACTAATCAGCTGCATTACAGACTCAGATGACAGCAGAACTTTATACAATGGAAAAAAAGAGTAGTTTCTTATACAAGATGCAATATGGTATTTTCACTATAGTAAAAACAAGATTCAAAGCAACCCATTGTCATGCATGAAATTCTCAACACAAAGGCAAATCATTATGAAGTGATCAGAACACAGCTCAAAGGGCCTCATTATTTTTAAACAAACAACCACTACCTCATTTTTCTCTTGTTTGGCTGATCCCTGACTCTGTGCTCCATTAACTGGTTCATTTTCTGGAACGGAACTCTGGCACAAAGTCTCACTGCTGATGGGATGCTGTGGCTCCACGGGAGTATCACTTCTTGCAGCAACATGGAAGAGAAGAGAAGCTTAATTGAGAAAAATTAAGAGTAGAAAATCCTCTGGTAAGTAGAGAACGGTAACCTTCTAGAGTAAAATCTGATAACACAGGTATGCAAACTTCTTAAGTCACATAAAAGTCACATAAAACTGAAGATACTGCTTAGGAAAAAAATGCCACTTGCAATGGGTTACACTAAACAAAACAAAACCCCTAACAAACAAAAAGCACAGTCAGTGTGCTTTGTCCCCACATTTTCCAAAAAGCCTTACCACCATGGGATATCCAAATTCCGTGTTTTCTATCCCTACGCTTGAATTATATACCCTTTAACTAGCAAGTTATTCAAGATGTCCTGTTTTCAAAGCAATTATGTGTATGGAATGTATCAGATATACTATGTGACTAATGTTTTCTGTAAGGTATTAGTATCATTACCACTATCAGTCTAAATTTAAACTATATTTAACATCCATCGGCTTGAACATTCCTGGAAGTGCTACATAGGAAAATGTTTATATTAGTTTTGCTATTCTTGTATCATGTAAGTATTTCTGCATGGAACTCTTTCCAGAATGCTTTAGCAATCAGTAAGCGTGCAGAACACATTAAAAGTCTTGGATTCCCATCTTCAGTTTTGTCAACTTACAAAGTTGACACTCTTTACTCAGTGACTCGGAGCAAAGCTCTTTAAGAAGTTATTTTGAACTTTTTGGGTAAAATAACAACAGTAACTTAGCTGACTAAAAGACAAGTAATTTCTTGCTGAATACAACTTAATAAAAGAAATACCATATTTCTGTCATGTGCAAGAGGAGGCAAGGGCCAGATTTACATAAAGCTCAGCTTCCAGCTTCCACCCTTGCAAATATTGCCATTTAAGTTGGACGCTTAATCTGAAGTTGGATTTTTTCTAAAAAAGTGTAATGCCTTCTTGAAAACTATGGGTCTGGCCCCTTAACCTAATTCTAACCTTCAAGAGATGTATTAATTAATGAAAAAACACGTTAAGATCTATCAACTTCACTTAACATCACACGCAAACACCTACACAAAGAAAAACTGCAGCAATTTACCACTTTATTTAGCCCACAAGATAACTCTATTTGTGCAGAATTATTCCAGTACACTAAAACTGAAAAAAGGAAACAAAAAACTTCCAAGAATCAGTTTTAACATTTGTGCCTGGGCTACACGCACAAATGTTAAGGTGTGTGCATACAGATGACTAAAATTAGAGGATTTACAATTCATTAGTATCTTCAGGAGGTACGCTTTTTAAAAATGGAACTCAAGAGATACTTCCGTAAGACTTAAGCCATCCATAAAAACTCCAGTTGGGAAGAGGCTGGTAAAATCAAAGATTTAAAGCAGATCATTTAGAATCAAATGAAATAGCTCCTTTCAAGATAAGCATTAAGAGAATGTACTGACATGCATTAGTGCAAAGATTTCCATTATTATTGCTGAACTGACATCAGTATGATGGCGTTTGTTTCCTTTTTATTTTGTTACAGCTGCTCTTTATCTTAACACAAGACACAAAATATTGCTGTAAGGCAAAACTAATAGTGTCACCAACTGTGCCCAGGATCGAACACCACAGCTCTAAAAGTGTCCTCTGCTGGCCAGCGCACCCAAGTGCAGTGCTAGTTGCCCACTTGGTACTCTAAGAGCCAAAAAAGCTGGCAGCTGCTTTCTAGCGAGGCATGGATATGACACTTAGAAAGGGGCAGAACTGCTCATCAAAATAAAGGTCAAGCAAAAACATGATAAGCTCTTAATTGGCAAGTACCATTTCTCCTAGCTACCAGGACTTTTCTCTCAGAAGGTAAGAAGCGCAAAGTTTTGATACAGGCTTTAGTTCTTAAGGAAGGAGAGAAATCAGTTTTGCAGTCTACATTGCATTAAAAGAAGTTATTAATAGCATTCACCACTACCATAACCCAACCATCTCCAAGTCCAATATAAAAATACATAGTAACATTCAGCCACCTTATTCAGATTTGGTCTGCAAAATGGTAAGTAAATATTTAAGCTGAACTACTATTGTAATAATTTAAGTGATAGAGGAAGGCCACAATGATGGCATATAGTCATTTGCAGTGACTTGATTGGGACTATTTCTGTATGTAAATTTTTGAAGTATACTTAATCATTTACAGTGTCAGGACCAAAATTTACAGACACCTGAGAACAGAATGGGATGGAGAAAGAAGACGGAGTTACAGCTACTCCACTGTCTCCATTTATTTATCTGGAATGAAAGAATTCAGTGATACTGAACACAAATCTTAGCTAGACTCCATTACATAATCGGAGCATTTGTGCTCTGCGCTAGGATTTCAACTTCAAGAAAGTCCAGATTGAATCCATAAGGCTCAAGACCAAATACGAAAACCTACTTTGATCACAAAAGCGTAAGGAAGAAAACACCTTGTACACAGAGTTTTAACTACAACAGAATTTAAACAATCAAATTATGTTTCAATGTTACAATTATGTTCAAAGTTACAGTGCAGGGAAGATCTCAGTAATATACAGCGCAAGGTAAGCCAAGGTAAAAATAAAGCTACAGTTGCACTTACCGCTCAGGTGACTCTTCAAAAATGCTGTGACACTCAGTATTCTCAAGCATGAGACTTCGGCTGAGATTCTGTACTCCTGGGTAATGGAAATTAGCAAAGGAGTGCGACATTGGAGAAGTTTTGGTCCCAAGGTCTGTGACTCGCTTATCGTGATTTGTTAATCCACAGGACAGCCCATCTAAGGCAGGGTTTAGGGAGCGGGTCATGTAAGCATCTGCTGACTGAGGCCGTCTCATTGGGGACGATGGATAAGGAGAAAGTTTGCTGATAAGAGGTGTCAAGAGATCAGCATAGGCAGCTTTTGTAGGCTTGAGGAGTTTATCAACATGAATATTAAGCATCTTTTGTTCAAAAGCACATGAAAAAACAGTAGCTGGCAGATTCTGCAGCCATGATAATAAGCTAAGGTCCAAGTCATCACACCCATTACCACACAAGAGATCAATGCCCAGCAATACTTCACTTTCTGTGATTTCTTCTCCTGTTGCTTTACTCTGACAGAATTCCACACAACATTCATAAAGCAATCCCTTCATTACAAGCTGAAATAAACGATTGTTACTTGCTTTGAAGCCAGCCTCACTCAGTTTCCTATCGGCAGGAATAAACTCTGCCACCATGACGCAGGCTTCTTCAAAGCAGTGAACCCGTGCAGTGCTGGGATTCCAGTCCTTGAATTCTGCGTGGTTGGTCAAGCGAGGCAGCGTCAGTAGCAAACAGAGTTTACTATAGTCTTCCTTAGAGGGACAGTATTCTTCCAGCGCATGTAGGCACTGTACAGCCTCTCGCATTGTAAATTCCAGCTACAGAAATATTAACATTAACAGAGTAGTTTGTAGTACATATGTTTCTACAAAAAAAAAGTTAGTTGAAGAACAGGCGGTAGCAGAATTTCTCCGCTATGATTCCTTTATTACTATTACTGTTTATATTTTAATTAAAACAGTATACAATAGAGTCCCGAATTGCTGATGCAAATGTAGTTACGACAGAGCCAAATTTCTGGATGCTCTGACTTCCTGAAATCGCCCCCAGTCCCATTTTCTACACATCTATGGAACTTTTTCATGCCGCTGCAGGTTTCATAGGCTTAAAATTTTAAATCTGTAGCTAAACAGCTCCAATTCTATTGTAGCACAGAAAGTTACTTCCATTCTCAAAGCCAAATGAAGTTTTTTTCCCTTTTTTTATGTCTATGAACTGGCATAAGTTATAAAAGGCTTGTAGATTTCTCTAGTTTCCAGTGATTAGCAACTTTGAGTTGTCTTTTATATTGAGATTTCCTGTTCTTCAATCAATAATGTTAAAAAAAGTTCAAAAAGTTCTCAGAAGGTAAGACCTTCAAATGAATAGAGGGCTTTAATACAGAGCTTGTTGATAGCTAAAAGCCAAGAACCATGTCAAGTACACGTAACTTGGTATTTTTAGTTACAAAGATTTAAAAAAAAACCAACCACAAAACCCCCACTTACCCATGTTACCTAGCACCTGCTCAATACAGCTGCCTTTCATCCACAACATGCCAACACATTTGGTAAGATTCAAAACAAAAAAACAAAGGACATAAACCTGATTATTTTTTTCTCTACTGCTATCTAGTAACAGTATACAGATTGAGTGATTAGAGGAATACTACACCTTTCCTTTACAACTATAAATAAAGATTTACTTTTAGCTTTCTCTACACTGTCAAGTGAAGACCCTGCAGTAGAATGTATGTGTAATGGGACAGAGAATTAAGATCAATTCAGTTTGGAAAATGAAATCAATTGTCTTAAAACTACTGGCAGTCTTCATTTTTAACTTCATAACATTTTTGTTGGAAATTTGGTATTCCTGTATTATCAACATAAATGAAAAGCTATAATTAATTTCAAAATCTGCACACCTTCTTTGTCAGTTTGAGTTAATGTCTCTTTCCATATTGAAAACCTAAGTTCACAACTCCTGCTGTTTCGCACGTTTAACTGAATTGGTCCTTTGTGAACACATCTGTTCCCTCCAAAGAAACAACTGTGTCCTTTCTCTCTAAAAGCAACAGAAATTAAGTTCAAGATTCATTCCAATCAGAACCTTTCACCTGGTCCCGATTATGACAATAAATTTCCGTGATTCTGAGGCTTGCTTCAGAACTCTTTTGAAAAAAAGAGCCCTGTACTTTAGCATAAGGGCATAAAGTAAATCTCAGGATCAGGACCACAAACACGGCCTGTGGTCACTGATCTATGCTGCTAAGTTTCAAGCAACCCTCGTATACACAATTCTGTTTGAGACCCGAGAGCCACATTCATTTCCAAAGGATACCGATTATTTTTTCCATTGTGCATGAAACCATTTGGTAATAGCTAAAATTTGTGTATTTGGTGCCGGGAGCTTCCGCTCTGCCTTTAATCAGAATATCTCAAGAGGTTTCTTGTCAACAAAAAGAATTCCCAAAACAGAGACAATTCTTACATGCTGAGGCTCATCTTCTGCTGACATCGCATTGTTTACACATAAGGCTTCCAAGAACTTCTGCTTCATTATAATGTAACGAAATCTGCAGGTGAGAAGTGAAATACTATACGTCTTGATCCAGTAGCTAAACATTCTTTCAGAGACAAGCAGGGTATTTTACAGCTGATTTTTGAGTTAGGCATACAAATTGCAATGACAAGGAACTCTGATCTCAAATTGGTAACCACAAAATTATATTTTAACAGGAAATGTCTTTTTCAAGTATTCCTTTCAGAAATACTACACTTAAAATATTAGAAGGCTAATAAGAAAAAAAAGTATAGCAATCATACCCATTTCTTAAACAGAAATATGACAGAGCAGCCAAATATAAAAACATGCACCGTGTCCCTAAAGTGTATGGCAAATGAAAACTCATTACAGATTGCGCGCACATATTTTTTCTAGTTTAAGTTAAAAAAACCACATGCACACACTTTAGGAACTGTATACTGGTTAGAAAAAACAAAAACTAAGGTAAAAAACTTAGAACTACTGCTTTCACACACAATACTTAGAAATTCATGTATTTTCCACAACTCAAAAAAATCAAACTCTGACATACATTCTATTTTACCTTTTCTTGTCGAATTTTTCCATACATTCAAGAGGCTGAATAAATTGAAGAACCTCATCCCACTGTCCATCAAGAATCAATTGCCTAGTAAAAGAAAGAGTCACTCGTTTAATTTCAATGGACAAGAACATCCTTCTTCTTTCTAAGCAAGCAGCTCATTTAAAAACACAACAGTCATTTAAATGTACAACAGGTGATGAGCCTGCTTTGAAAAGTTAATGCTTTGCACAGATGCCAAGATGACTGTCTGATGTGACTAGTAATAAGAGCAAAATCCAGGTCCTTTCTCAATATTTTGTAAAAATAACTGCATACAAGGACAAATATTAATTACTTTTGAAGGCACATCAAAAAGGACAAAATGGTCCTGTGTCTCCTGCTTTACCTGTAGTTCTTATTTAAAAAAAAAAACAACAAAAAAGCCAACTTACTTGAACAGTGCGAATAAATATATTGATTCAATGAATGAAAGCGAACTGAAAAATGAGTTAATTTTAATTGTATAAATACTGCTGGGCCTATTTTATAAGCCAGGGCTGGGGGGGGGGGGGGGGACAGCTCCTATATTAAGAATGTAAGAGGAACAGCTTGGCAGGAACTATGCCAGCACAAGAGCTCCAACTCCAAGACCAGTGGGCTAGAATGCACAGGTGGGTTAGTTCAATTTCTTCACGCCCTCATATCACACACAGAGCTGTCTATAAAAGGCCCAGATCTACAAGAAAGGGGTGAGTTTCTCATTAGATATATACTCCAACTAAGCTAAGAATGAAACAAACAAATAGGATTAGTAACTTTAATCTTTCTCTAATTCTTCTTTCATTTTATTCCAATATCCATAATTTTAAACAAAAGGGAAGCGAGGTGAGAAATCTTGTTCAGTGGTAAGATATTTTTTAATGTTTTAAGAACAGCTGGATAAGTTATTTTCTCATGCTTCTACGAAGTTATTAAGTACCTTTGGCATGAAATAGAAAACAGCAATGCTAAAAAACTAGTGTGCATCTACAGGGACTCCTTTCAATAATTTTGAGGGCAATATCATGAATGGTAAATCACACTAACTCTCACGTCTTGATGATAGTGGAGACCCCTTTCATATTGTTAACTTTAAGAGAGATCTAGGTATTATTTTGAAATGCAGATAATATTTTGGGGGAAAAGCTTTGGAAACCACTCCACTCATCCTAGATCTTAGCACTAGAACACCGTCAAAATATTCTATTTATTTTAGAAGTCAATGAACTACACATTCAGTTCCATGTGACATGGCAAGCAGATAGTAACAGATCACTGCTGCCAACAGAAGATCTTGCTCTCCCATCCTATTCCTGCTCATGTGCGTTCCCTGACTTACCCTGCGCTGACACTGGCACTTGTTAAGACTCCTTGCCACTTCAATTCATTAGCATGCCAGAAAAACAACCAAGTTAAAATGAATGAACAAGCAAACAAGAAAATCTAATTCTAAACCTACATTGATGATGCCTGGTCAGTTACTTCAAGTGGCTCACAGAAGGAGGTCATTAACTTCAGAGCTAGACCACAGAATTGGGATCAGGAAGAAGCAGAATACGGTGAGGGCGTAAGACCTCCTGTTTAGCAGCACGGGGCTGCCCACAGAATCACAGTCCAATCGTATGTTTTCATATATGTGGTACTTCAGCACCAGAGAAAGAAGTCCTACCTTAGAAAAAGCATGTCATCTGAAAACAGGCCATTAATGACCCCACTTTCTTTCTCAAGCGCCAGCATACTGATATGAAGTTTCCTTGTGTTCAGAAAATCTAGTATTAGTTTAATTATTTCAGCTTCTTTAACATTCACTGTTTCTTCAGCCGTCATGATGGCAGCCTAAAAGGGAAAAGACGACAGAATTTTAGCTATGATCAATATCTTATTTTATGCTTGGTTAACACATGTTGGCTACTAAAAAAACTAAAAATAGTTTTACAAGACAGACTACTGTAGCATTACAAAAATTAAATAGGCAAGATTAGGAAATTGATTTTAAGAGGTTGATTATGAAGCCACAATTAAGACCTATCAATGCATCTGCATCTTTTTTATTTCTGTCCTATGCATATATAGGGGCCCAGATAAACAAATCTACCAAGAAATCAATCCTCCTGCAGTGTGAAAATATTGTGCTTACTAAGTCTGCAAATATGTAAAATTTTCCTTTCTGAAATGCAAACAGTGAAGTTCAAAGAGCATAAAAACGAGCCGGTTACTATGTCATTATCTATAGAGATCTTGCATATAAACTTAAATGTTTCTAACATGTACAAAAAGCACAGCACGCTAAAAATGCAGTCTCCCCCTACCCCATTTTTGAAGTAGTATATGGTAATTAAGCCAAGGCTTTTCATTCTTCCTTCATAAGGACACCTATATCTGTCTATATGCTTTATGAAGAATCTAAAGCTGCAAGCCCAAGGTGGCCTAAGCCCATCTGACCGCTGACTGCCAGAGTCCCATTCACTCACCTGCCTCCAGGTGCGTGTTGCTGGCCCTTCCTTAGCACCCCTCACTTGTGTCATTGGGTTAGCTTTTCCACCAACTCATGCGCTGAAGGGGCTCAACGGTCTAATGAGCTCTCCAGCCAGCAGAAAGGAAAAGTGGGAAGATGCAGCTGGGGTAGTGACAGGCCAAGGCCCCGGCTGCCAGCAGTCAGCTTGTTTAAAGCTCCCATGGATACAACGTCCAAGCTCCTTTGCAACACAATTCCTCCAAGGATACGAGAGTTGTAGCATGTACTTGTCTTAGGAAACCCTAAAATAAATTCTGCTTCTGGCTAAGCCTTGCATGGTTCCTTAAGTCTGACTTGAAGTAGAAGCTGTTCAACTACTTTTTTTAAACCTTAAAAAGACTTTACGGCTGTAGCTCCCAAGTTGATCTGCTGAAAACTAACTGGGGATGTGGGGAGAAACCCTATAACACAGCCAAGCCACGTAGCATTGCCTCATCGGGAGCTCTTAAAAAAAAAAAAAGCTAACAGCTACAAGAGTGCGATTTCACATCAGGAGAAATTCAATTTAAGCCCGTGTTACTGCAGAAAGGGGCGGTCCCTCTTCCCACCTCTGCAGTCAGCCACACGTCCCCAGCCACTTCACAGCACCCACAGTGGAGCTGTATGGTTAGCCAGACCACTCCTCTGACCCAGGCGCAAGTTAAACGTGTATTCACCCCGTGGACAGAAGGGCACTAATGCTGACACAAGGAACTGACTGAGCTTTGCTTTCTGGCAGTAGCAAAGTCTTAACCTGACTGAAATTGCTTATGAGAGCGCACCAAAGAACAGAGAAGAAGCCAGTATCAGTGATGAATCGTCAGCAGGAGGCAATATCCCCAGGAAAAATGAGAGACAGTGGAATAACAGTGATCAAAAAAAATGAATAAAGAGGGATGACCATACAGAGCAAGATGTCCACAGCAATAGGTTATAGTTACCCCAGCTGCTCCCCCTTTTAATTCAAAAGGGGAAATAAAAATACTTCTTAATTCCCTCATGCGACCATTTATTTATGCAAAAATCTAGCCACTACGATGCTGAAAGACAACCAACTGCGGGTAACACAGCTCCCAAGACAGGCTGAAGAGATGATGCAGCCGCCAGATACCTCGGCCTTGGAAAACTGGAGTCCATAAGCTAGTTACCTATCTCGTATTAGGAAAGATGCACAGAAACTGGTAACAAGAAATGAAAGAACAGATACAAGAAGTTTGAATAATCCAAATAAGACACTCATAAAGTATTAACAAGAAATTAATTATTTACCGGGGAAGAGACAAATACTCCAGTGAAACTTCTCACTGATCATCATAAACCAATCCTAATGAACTTGACGGAACACAAAAAATTAGGCATTAATAAGAGGGGGTTTTGTACTACATCATCTAAATCCCCAAGTTTTCCATCCTCCTCACTGTTGTATGACAACTTTTTCCCCAAGTAAGTTTTTGCCAGAACATTTGACTAGGAAAGCATTTGATTATAGCAGCATAGTTTATTTTGGAACAACAGAGACCTAATTGTGCCAGATGAAATGGCCTAACTTCTTTTTAAAAATGGCTGGGTTTAATTCTCGTTTTAGTCACAGAAGACTCCAATCACCAAGTATTTTGGTGGGTCTTATGAAAGACACACCCAGAGACCACGTGCCCACTCTTGGCTAGTAAAGTTAATGGAAAAAATTAAAATCTGGCTTGCAGAAAGCTTTGCTGCAGGAAAGCAAGCAGATAAACCCACAAATTCGAAGCCAGAACTTGTAGAGAGATGCTTTTTCCTTACGTTTCAACTTCCCCTTTTGGCAACTGGATATGGATTTTTGGTCCCAGAGAAAAGTTCAACCCTACTCTTACACACTGAACGAAACAATCAACAAAAATTTAACTAGCAGTTTAGCATTAACATCTTAATTCCCAATCTCACCTAATGCATTTGCATTTCTCTTTTATTATGTTTTATGGCACTGGTGGTTTTTATATAAATTAAATGAACTTCCTTGCCAAAAGACAAAGTAAAGCTTAGGCAAAGCTGTGTTGAGACTCCCCATCAGAAAACTACTAGAAAAATTCAGACTAAGTCTCCCTTTGAAGAAAGGAACACCAAGTCCAGCTTTCTTTTCAGCTGGATCAACAGGACTCAAGTCTAAAGAGGAAGCCACCCTACATAGCTTCAAGATTGTCTTTACATTAATTATTTACATATTCTATTGACAGAAAAATGAGCATAATACTCAGTACTTTGCTTAAGAGTACAACTACATTAAGTAAAATCTAGCATCTCCAAGAAGTTGTCTTCCATCTTCCATTGTAGTTTTGAAAGAACAGGTTTGTCCTGAACATAAAGCCTTTGCCAAGTCTAACACAGCTTCATTTACTTTATTTATATTGCCCACATAAATTAGGATAAAGGATTATCGGCACCCTCCATATTTGATATGGGACTAGTAACAGCCCTTTTGGGGTCTGGTTAAGAAAAACATAATGTAATATCCAAACATAGTTTGGATACTGAACATCTGAAGAAGAGTCGAAGTACTCTGATAAGCTTATACATTATTATGAAAATATTCAGTGTGCATTCGCTGTCAGGGCAACACAAATAGCTAGAAAAGAACAGTAAACCTACTAGAAAAGATTTTCACTTAATTGATTTTTTTTTAGGCTGATGAGCTCAGACTTCTCTTACAAGCATTATGCTGTCAAAATAATAAGCAGCACTGTAACACTATCATGAAATTATAAATATATAAAGGCTTACACATCAACCCCTATGAAATATATCAGTTTTTCTGACATTCAGTGGTACGTGTGTGTTTGTGTATAAATAAAAATAATAATAATTAAAAAGCGAAGAACAGCAGGGAAACTCAAGATTAGAGCTCAAGCTGTGTCTTTGGTCCATCCCACTACATTGCTTTCTGCCAGCCCATATGGCACATAACGTCAGAGTCTGATCAGCTCCAGCACTAATACTCAAGCATGACTGAAGCACACCGTTAGCTTGAGGTATAAATGAAAGTAAATGAGTGTTAGAGCTTAGCGTTTCAGGTGCCTTCTATCAACCTTTGTATCTTACCCAGTCTTTTCAGAACAGCACTCCTCCACACCTGTCCTTCCATCTTCCTCCTGTCCACTCCCCCTTGTCATTTTCCCCTAGTTCTGTATTTAAATTTGTTTTCCTCCTAAGAAATCTACATCAAGAAAAAAAACCAACTTCTTGCCACAAACTTGGCACATCTTTTCTCTGTAGCTTCAATGGACAAGACGTCCTTTAAACAAGCTCTTTGCAACGTAGACTAGCTACTCCTAAATTTTCCAGAGAGAGGTTTCACTCTTGTTCTGTTCTTACTCATGTTCTAAGAACATGCCAACAGCAAGAAGCCTCTCATGGTGTTATAAGCATAGAAAACAATTCTTAAAAAAAAAAAAATACATATATACACACACATATAAATATACTATTTCAGGAAAATGTTTATAAACTAGAAGTGTCTAAAAATAGTGTCTAAATAGTCTTTGTCTTTAAGTTACCTCCCTTAGAAGAAATTTAAAATGCATATGCATTCACATGATAGAAAGTTGAAGTAAGGTTTAATATTCTGGAAAACAAGTAAATAGTGAAATTCTAAAATAAGCGTTATTCCTGTGTTATTTATCATCTGAAACAGACCACTCACCAATAGTGTACAATATGCATTCACAAAACTGGGCAAGGACTATAAAATCTCTAGCTACTCAGAAATAGAAGAAATTAATATTATAGTTCAAATCTTTAGTGCCATACTGAGCGAGCGGTGGTACGTTTAAAGGGAGAAGCGATGCCTAATTAGAAGTCTTGGTTCGCTGACTTCAATGACAGCTGCAACGCATAGCTGTAACCTCAGCATCTCGGTGAGCTATGTCACAGAAAAACCAAATGTGAAGAAGTAGCACATATTTAAAATGCTGGCTGTTTTGCATAAAGTTATTTCGCCTTTTAATCCACCCCACGGTCACTTACATATGACTCTTGGGCCTGCCCACAGGCCACTCCGGAGTTCCGCCTACACAGACCCCACGGGGGACTCAGGGCCCGGTCAGTACCTAGTGGCTCCATTTCTGATGTGCCCTCAATCATCTTCCAGTTATTCTATATCAAAAGAATTTACAAAAAAAAAAAAAAAAGAGTCTATAGGCCAAATTTTTTATTACAATTGATTCCCACAACAGTTAGTGCAACTCACTGACACCCACTTCACCCTAAGAGATTGCACGGCTCGTTATTGCAAATGGACTATGTTGAACACATTAAGCCCTCGACAGAAAACCTTCCCCAACTTTGTACAGTTGAACTCTATGATCGAAACCTTTTTCTGCTCCAACAGGCAGCAAATAAGCGTCCTCTTACATACGAGCCCGTTCTTCCTCACACAAATCTTCCGCTGGCTCGCCCTCTAGTAATCCCCTTTTTTTTACCCTGCTTAGATCAGCTGTTGCTTTAGTGGCACCCCAGTAATCCTTCTCTCACCACGCTTCAGAGGTGACCGGCAGAGCTCTTCGCATTCATCAATCCCTGTCACAACACGCACTCTTTACCCAGAGCATTCTGCATCACGAATGCCAAAAAGGTGACATTAAATTATGCAATACTTGCGTATTAGAGTGAAAACGTAACGCAGGAAAATAAAAAGCCCAAACAAGTTACACAGACTAGAAATGAACGCACTTGGACTAAAAAAAAAGCCCCCCGCTCGCTCCAAATTCTTTTTTTCTCTCCACGTGCGGTTCCACGCGAAATCCACCTCTGCTGGCGAGAGGGCTCAGAACAACCGCGCCGCTCAATTACACGGCGCCGAGCCCGAATCAGCATTTCGGGAGCGTCAGCTCAGCACCAGCAGCAGGCAGGGCCGCAGCGGA